GGCACTTTTTGGTACGCGTGTACTTGTTGCAGCATTAAATGAAAAATACATATTATACCAACAACAATTGACATTTAATTAGCATCTACTTATGTTGTGTAACATTGTAATATGTTCATTATCATTATTAGACACTTTAAATATTTTATATAAGTGTTATCCTGACCCTTCTCTTTATCCCTACACCCTTCAAGGTGGGCATTACCAATCGTGTAAAGTTAACATTTCTGTTTGATTTATTTTTACCATAGACAAGGTACAAAAGCTTTACCATGAGTACTGACCTTATTAGGTGCTAAACTGATGAATGAATAGGTAGATGGCAGCACTTATGCTGGTTGGACTACACGCTAGCATCTACCATAGACACATATTGATTTACCATATTTGTTATTTTGGATTAAAGTAAAACTGCTTTCGCACCAAACTTAATGAGATTCAGATTGTGTTTGAAACTATATGATCTTCAGATTTTGTGTGAACCTTAAATTCATGACAATCAAAAGAATTCAATATTTAGGAAGTCAACATTAAGATTTTTAACATCGTCTCAATGAGAATTTAGTGTGACCTTTTTCAGAAAGTTAAAGATCATAGAAAATTGAACATAATCAAAGTTCCTCAGTAGAACATTTAATCTCCTAAAATCACATTAAAACTATATCAGCAATATTTCCAAGCTAAATAGTATAAAAATTTCGATCACATCATTTGCAATGTTTTCATTATTCGATAGTTCAACCCTATATGAATTATTGATGATTTTAAAAGTGCAAGGAATCTAAATGAATCAAGGAAGCCAGTGATATGTATATGCCTTATTAATTGTTGACTTATACAATGAAATAGATTTAGATGCAAGTAGAAATAATTTTGCTTTACATCATTAAAAATTCAAAATTCAGTCAAATAAGTGATATCATATTTGAAATCTTCATGAAGAATTACATTTCTTCATGCAATAAGTTAACCTTTTAGTGAGTAGTTGTGACTCATGTAATCATGCACTTATACAATTTGTCAGTAAAAGTTATTTATCCTATACTTAGTGTTATAGGTAAATAAAATGCATGAATATAATTGATACCTTAGGTGAGTGGGGATATACATGTACTGCATATCCCGCTTTATCCCATACTTGGTCGTGTTTCAGGTACATAAAATAGGTTTGTAAAAACTTATATTTTCATCAGCGGGCAGATATAGCTTTACATTCTGTTGCGAGCGGGCAGATATAGTATATCTGCCCACTCCGTCATAATCGCCCTTGGGCAGATATATTATATTTGAATCGGGATAGTTCCAATATCCTGAACCTCATATAGGATAATCTCTATGTATCGCCAGGTTTATCACCCGCTCAGTAATCCCCTGCAGGAATTTCATTCTGTGCAATTTCTCATATTTTCGTATATGATAAATAATTTTGGTTACAAGGTATAACCCTTGGGAAATACAATATTCTACCCTCAACCCCTCGGGGAGGTATATTGTATTTCCCTCAGATATATTGTATTTCCCTGTATTAAAAACTTCCCATTAATTAAACCTCATATATAATGCACACCATTTGAAGTATAAATCAAAACTATGAATTAGTGATATCCATGTTTCTAACGAAAGCATGAATTTGAAAGAAACAAACATTCTACTCATATGGTATAAAGATATTACCAGTTGTGTCCATTTTAGATTTGATTGAAGAACTTCATTAGAGGCAATTTTGAAATTACAATATATTAAAAGAGGCTCTGTTGCTTAGATGGGAGAATCAATTAGCTGCATTGTTCAGTTTATGACAAAATTGATGTTTAGTGTTACTTTCATGAACACCCATCCTGTAAAATAGCATTTTGAATCCAGTAGTTTGTATATCGATGAATTAGATAAGGCATTGTAGAGGAAAAATATCCAACAAGATTACTAGTTTGCTCATGAAATTAGGCATACTTTAACTTGAAACAATTTGTAACACTCAAATTTTGGGGTTTGGAGATCAAAGTAATAATGATGAAAAACAAGCAATTTTAAAATATTTAAATATTTAAGATTTTTGTTAGCCTTTGTTTTGTCTGTTTTATTCTCAAATAAATCATGGTCATCAATTCTATTGTGACATAGTCATCATTTACCAATTTTAAAATTAAATATTACTGGTTAGAGAATGTGATTTCTTACTTTAGGTTATATTTATATCCCGATTTATATGTATAATAATAATTGATGAAGACGAATAGAGATTATCCTCTATGAGGTTCAGCGTATTAGAATTATCCCGAGGCCAATATAATATATCTGGCCGAGGGTCGTAGGTCCCGAGGGAAGATATTTTCTATTGGCCAAAGGCCTTAGGTCCTGGGGGAAAATAAATTATATTCGCCAAGGGATAATCCTAATAGCATGAACTGACTATAGGATTATCTGTTTATCCCATATCAATCTTTCTTATCTGGTTCACATTGTTCAATTGGCCAGAGTTAGAAAGAATACAACCACATAAATGTATTCATGACTAATTTTGTTTTCTTGGCCTTAGGAGGATTCTCCTGTTTTTTAAGTATTCATCCACATATTCTCGAATCATTGATTATTAACGTATTAAGTATGCTACTTCCCTCATTGCTAATCATACACAAATGATGATTATGACTTAGTGGGCAGGTGTAATATATCTGCCCTCTCAGGCAGGGACATTAGCTATATCTGCCCGCTGATGAAAATATAAGTATTTATAAACCTGCTATATGTATCTGAAACATATCCAAGTATGGGACAAATGTATCTACTTTTTTTGATTGCATACACTAAACAGATTTGTTTAGGAATTATATGAAGTATTTCAAAAACATATACCGAACCACTATTGAAGGATCTAGGAATCATTGAAAATACAGCATATCAGAAACATGTGTAAATTGTTTATCTTGCAATTATTTTGCTAAATACTAATAGAAATTATACTGTACCTTCCAGAGAATAGCTTTTTTGTTAACTATGAGCCAATGAATGAATGGATGCATTTTATTATAACTGCAAAATGATGCTCTATGCAATTCATACGAAAAATAAATTTTGCCATATTAGAATCAAGTATAATCTTTAATCCTTTGGATAGATCATGCATTGACTGATGTTGAGGTATTGATAAAAGAAGTGTCAAAATAGATTTTAGTGTTATGTATTAGGCAAAATATTAGGAAGGGTATAAATGGTCTCCAATCTTTCTAGTTTTGAGTATTACGTCTTCTTGCTTTGATTCAAATTATCCTCGGTCACTATTTGTAACCCCTCCCTCCTTCCCCATTTAGGCCATGGATATGAAGATGATTTAGAGGTTATGTGAAGGATACTAGGGAAGGGTTAATAGCCAGAGTTAAATTAGTTCATTTAAGTTTAATCATAAATGTTATGCAATTCACACTAGCATCAAATATCATACCAAAAGGATTGAACTGTTTATTACTTTTCAATTGCAGTAAACATGGTAAAATGGTTCTAAATATTGAACATTGTTGAACAAGCATAGATGACTTGAATAGCTCTAGATGACTTGAACGTATCCATTCATATTCTAGGAACAAGTCAATGAATAAGTAAGACTTGACTCTTGACAGGCTTAAAAGACCGAGGACCCTATAAGACTTAAACTAAAAGTTCATTTGACCATTGATGACCTATGATAGGGAAGGGTCAGGATAACACATGTATAAAATATTTAAAGTGTCTAATAATGATAATGAACATATTACAATGTTACACAACATTAGTAGATGCTAATTAAATGTCAATTATTGTTAGTGTAATCTGCATTTTTCATTTAATGCTGCAACAAGCGCACAAGTACCAAAAAGTGCCACGCCCACTTTTCCCTAAAGCAGCTATGTGTGACTATATTTGATAAATATTATTGATTTATAGGATCATTATATCAACTTTTAAGTGTTTTAATGTTAATATAGATATAATATTACACATTTTGACAAAGTAGCAGCCATAAAATCCAAACAGATTTGCAAATATTTCACTTAGAGTACAAAGGGACACATTTGGGAGGGGGTCAAATTGAGAATATTTCGAGATATAAATACTGTTTCTATGGTAACCATATAAGTTAGAGATTGGAAATTTCTGGCACTTATTAACCATAACATGCCCTACCCAATATAAAACAATGAATATCTGACATGCATTAGTATTCTTTTTATTGGGTGGTATTAAAGTACCCCCATGGTTTTTTGGGGGTAGGGGTATTAATTGGTCTGAGGGCCGTCTGCCACCCCTATAGAAAGTCCAACTACCCAGAAAGTGTCCAGTATAATCATACAGATGGTTTGAAATAGGTTGGAATGTGTAACCTTTCATGTAAGGAAGGTTGCATTTCTAGAGCACTTCTACAGAATGGCTTACAGTCTAATACCTGCATGTGTGTGGAACAATTGACTGCAAGCATTTTTTAAAAACAATTGGCTGAGTAGGAACAGTATCCAATCAAATACTTAAACCATCAATTTGAAACACCAATCAAACTAGTAGGTTCTAGCAATTCCTGGAAACGACCCATTCAGTAGCTCAACAAATGACATACAGGGTGTTTCATAACGAGCATCTCAAAAAGTCAATTTGATAAGAGATAGGTCTATAACATACGTACTATATATGAGCCTATTTTATTCTAGACAAACACATTTGGATCAACTAAACATGCTACAATTCAAGAAAGAACAAATGGCATCCCTTTGACCTTTATTTATTACAGTCCGAGAAGATCTTTCCTGACGAAAAGCCCACATAATGAAACACCTTGTACGTTTGGTTATAAGTATAAGTATACGTTATAAGTTGTACTTTCACGCCGTGCGAAATCTCTCTACTCATGTAAAGTTCAAACGTATAATGTAAGTTAATCATCCACTCAAAATCTAAATTAATGAGTAGAGCAATATTACAGTAGCGACTGAACCTATTTTCAGCGTGGCGTTTTACATAATGTTACACAATATTTCCAAATGTTAATTTCGACTAATTATGTGCTCTGTCATGGGACTAAACTGTTGAATGTTTCTGTAGAAGACATCGTAGTTCAAATATCAGTAGATCATTCGCACATTCGTGTATCTGGAGAGTGCAACTTGTCAAGTGGTCATTATGTACAGAGCAGATGTATGTAATCGAGGGACCATAAAAGTATGTCATTAAATCATTGAATGAAAATAGTGTAATAACTGAGACCACCGTTACCCAACAATTATAGTGATCAGTCGCCTATTAGTAGCATTAAGCTATTATAAAAAATGCGTATATGCTTATATCTACGCCTAATGTAAAAGAAAGTGATCCTCGTGTTATAACAAGTGATCATGATATTAAATTTTCCCAATACACATTTCGAACATGTACTAACTTAAGATGGTATTTTGAAATTTGCAAAGTATGGATAATTTATATTTTGAAAACAAAATTCAATATGTTAAAGTTCATCCTCCTATCTCAGCTGCACATCTTCTTTGCTAACTTTATACATCACGGGGCGATGCGCGCCATATGTCTAGTGTAAACGATGGTCCACGAGGCAATAATAGTGAAAATGGCAAAGTCTACCACAATATCAAACGTTTAAAGGCAATTGTATTTTAAGAATTTCGTTTACACACTTTGGAATATAGTATAAATTCATTTTTGTCTATATTTGTTACAACACGTTTTACTTGTTTTATGTTCATTTTCGTAATCGAATCATTTGCCATTCTTCTTTTATTAATTGCGTCGATGCACTTACAGTATATATCATAAACCCTATTCACGTCTACCTTTTCTTTACCCTTCGTGTTATTTCTCTTTATTAGCAATCTGTATATCACGGCAATAAGATAAAATTGGAATTTATCCGTCGGCCCAGTATTACTGGTATTAATTTCTTGCAAATTGTTCGACAAATATTCGAAAGATGTTACATGTTTCTTGCTGGCTTTTGTTAGTCTCCTTCTAGTTTTTTTCACATTTAATTCCTTTTTTGGTTTACCATTGTTACAATTTTTTGAAGGGCAAGCACACGATTGTTGACATTTAGCATTTTTTGAAGAACATGGGCATCTTCTACCTACACAGCATAAGATTTCTTTTCCACTTCTTATTCGGTTGACACCACACCTACAACCTTTTTTACTACCTCGATCTTTCTTAGTTACAGAGCGTGCCAAAGAATTTGCGTTTCTTTGAATCAAACTGTCATAATGACCTGCTGAGCCCGCATTACTTAAGGAAACGCTGATAATAGTTTCATTATCAACCGGTGAAGAAAGCGTCGGGGTTATTATTTCGATTGCGTTTTCATTGTCTGTAATTACCACTATCGGCATACTAAAAACATTTGCTGCAGCAAAGGGCAAACTGTTCCCCAAATTAGAATCATAAAATGAATTTTGTAAAAAAAAGCAGTGGCCTCAGTTATTACACTATTTTCATTGTCCGCGTTTAAGAATATTTGGTACGTCTCCGGATGCATCATCCACTATGGCGGATCAAAGTTGACATTTCTTTCATTTCAATTGCACTTGTGAATCCCAAAGAATTTAGATGATCTTGAACATGTGATTCACCCTGCTCAAGTAACAATTTAATAATATTTGCGATCGCATGATGAAAACAATTTCCATCTCCCTGAACACGTATACGTTCAAACCCAAAGGCTTTTATATTATTTGATAGCCTGTTTTCATCATGGTTTCTTGAATTAGCAGATCTTGACAATTTCAAAAATTCTGTATCTATTAAGGGTAATGATTCAATGTCAAAAACGTCAACCAAATCTCCGAATTTTTTTATTTGTTTCGCCAATGAATGAAAATGTGTGGCTTTGTATAAAAAACCTCCTACCCACGTACCCTCGTACCCACGTACGTGGGTCCTGACCCAGTCTTTAAAGAGTTAAATCTTTAACATTTTTTAAACATTATTCTATCTCAATGTATGCTTAATTATGGATGAATTTATGTACCCATATGCCTTTATTTCTAGATCGGACATCTGTCTCGTCATAAAATAAAGCCGGCATTGCATAATGTTCATTTGAGCTATTTGAGTGTTGTTTTTGATATATCGAAGCGATTTTTTGTTGATCGGGCAGTCTTACAGTGTACAACCAATCTATTGCTTGGCGCAAATTGGCCACATGGGGCATGTGTTGTAAAGTGCTGTAGTTTTTGACTCCATGAGCAGAATATGGTCAAACTTTCACAACAAAATTCACATTGAATGACCTGAATGATTCTGGATTGACGAAGTTATTCAACTTTTCATCGGTCCTGTTTTTTAACACCCTGTAGTTTCGATTTTTATCACATATACTTTTTATTCTTTCAAACGATATTACAAGTATTCATTGTTTGCACGACAGATTTGCAGAGCTGTCAAGTGTCCCGCGAATGGCGGGATTATCCCGCGAATTTGATCAAAATTAGGCTAATTCGCGTGTCCAGCAATGTCCCGCGAAGTCCCGCAAATGTGGCTTTAACCTCCGCGAATTTCCGAAATTGTTCCAATCCCCTATATTGTGATTATCTTATCTTATATAAGAAGCTAAGTTTTTGCACTTTTGAGGAGTAAAGTTTACCTTGTTGTAAGTACCTAGCATGCTGTTGTTTGGTATCAAAATAAAGAGGAAGGGTTCAACTTTCATTTTAATTACGAAAATAGGGATGTAGGTCACAAACAGTTCCAACGTTGGCCTTTTTCTCAGAACTGAGCAAATGTTAGCAAACGCGAGTTACAATAAATGGACGCTGATATGTAAAAAGGGTTTGTAGAAAAAACCGGGTACCGGGTTGTAAATCCTCCATGCTGGGTTCAAACTTGGTACCCGGTCAAAAAAACGGGTACCCAAAAAACGAAAAATACGAATATATAACATAATTAGATTATGGGAAAACGTGTAAGATTTGTTTTGAATTCACAAAAATGTATGTAACATCCTTCAAAATTGAGCTAGAAGCTTCAAATAAAAAGCATAGTTTAAGGCTCTTTTCTTCCTCTATCGTCATGGCCATATTTTCATTGGTTATGATGATAAAGGAAGAAAAGAGCCTTAAAATGCTTTTCATTTGAAGCTTCTAGCGCAATTTTGAAGGAAGTTACATACATTTTTGTAAATTCAAAACAAATCTTACACGTTTTCTAATGATCTAATTATGTTGTATATTCGTATATTTCGTTTTTTGGGTACCCAGTTTTTTCAATCGGGTACCAAGTTTGAACCCAGCATGGAGGATTCACTACCCGGTACCCGGTTTTTTATACAAACCCTATCTAGAAAAGTAACCTCATTCCCTATAATTTGATGTAGATTAATCGAACCCCTATATCATGGGCTTTCCATTGAAAGCCCATGCCTACAGTATATGAATAGGTACATTTTAATATATAACATTATGGGGGTAAGCGTTTCATAGTTGGTCACGACGCCAGAAGTGCAAAGTATTGTTCCAAATTTTTGAATTTCGTGTTAGATTACGGTACTCACACCTGAAGCATGATTTTTGTTTTTGATAAATTACAATAAAGTTTAATAATATTCCTATGCGTATTTTGTGAAATTGTGTTGACGTTTATTTAAGTTATAATGCAACGGTGCATTATATTTGATTAATCAGTATCTGGAAGTTTGATTTAAGTACTTTAACATGCTTTTACATTAGTCCCAATCACGCAAATCCCTTGAATGTTCCGGGACATCCTGCAAATTTAGGTGGATGTCCCGCGAAATCCCGCAAATTTAGGGCACGTTGTCTAAAACATCTGTCCCTCTATGAAGTTTTTGGTGGTAAACCTGTTAACTGTCCCGCATTTAGAGTGTTTGTCCCTCGAATGGTCCCGCGAAATCCCGCGAATTTGATAAAAAATTTTGGCCTATTAGCGCAATCACGCAAATGCCTTAAATGTCCCGCGAAATCCCGCGAATTTAGTACATGTCCCGCAAAATCCCGCGAATTTTGGGCACTGGGTCTAAAAAATCTGTCCCGAGAGAAAATCTTTAGGGGTTGACAGTACTGGATTTGAACTATACGTGTAATTTGTCTTATGTCTTTTATTTAATTTAACATCAGAATTGGAGATACAAAGTGATAGAGTGATCAATTCACACGATCTCAAGGAATAATAAAGGCTGCATTTCTGTTTAACCGTGGCGCAATTAAATAACGAAATATTTGAAAAGTAAAAGGATTCGCTATATTAGTTTTTTATCGCTTTTTGGCACTAGTTCAGTGAATCATTTAGATGGAATTAAAAGTTAGAGTTGCCAAACTTATGCAGGGGAGTGTAAGTTTGGTTTTGTAAACTTCGACATTATTCATGGCCGTTTGATCCATAATTAGGTAATATGAAGTGTAGAGTTTTATTTTGACAATGATTTGATGTAAAACTGGTTTGAATGATAAAAGTTCAGCTTTGTAGTTTCTAGCTTTTTGCGCGTAAAACGTGAATACAATGGACAACAACGACACCAAATCTTTGACTAACATACGTTAATAACGTATAATATTCGTAAGAATGAATTCTAATAACATTTGAAATAAACATCTAATAAAATGTGGTGAATTTAATTGGTTGGAAACTCTAAGAAATATATTTTTAAAAAGATGTCAACTTTTGGACAAGGGTAAACTTCCCGGGACATTTACAATCTGCATGAGGTAACAGGAGGCACGGATTGCACTGAACGAAGGCTAGGAGATTGCTAATCAGCACTGATGTGTTAAACAGGTAAGACTGCCCGATCAACAAAAAACATTTCGACATATCAAAAACATAAATCAAATAGCTCAAAAATAATGAACATTTATGCAATTCCGGCTTTATTTTATTTTACTAGAGAGATGTCAGACCTATAAATAAAGGCATATGGATGCATAAATTCATCTATAATTCAGGATAAACTGAGATTGAATAATGTTTTAAACATTTAAAAATTTAACTCTTTAAAGACTGGGTCAGGACCCACGTACGTGGGTACGAGGGTACGTGGGTAGGAGGTTTTTTATACAAAGCCAAAATGTGTTGCCCTTTGTAATAATTCTTGAAGGTTAATGCTACTGTAATCGTGCTCTTGATGTAAATCTTTTTCCGAAGAATAATTATTTCCCGACGATACATTAAAAAATATTCCTGTTTTTGATCGACATGTTTGAGACGGACCCTAATTTCAATTTGAAAATTCGCCAATTTCCCTTGGAGTTTACTTAAATGCCTTGGGTAACGAATGTACAATTGTATACAGATATATACTATATGTCTATTTGAAAAAACATTTTAGAATTTTTTTCACTTTTTAACAAAATCTATTTCACACTTAAGTGGCTTTGAGTGTGAAGTGTATGGGAGATATGTAAATACATGTGAAGTATGTACCCCGATTACTCCGCCAGCCACGGTACGTATAGTAGGATGAAGTGTATGGTAGATGGGTAAATACATGTGAGAGTATCTACCCCGTTTACCCCACCAACCACGGTACGTAATATAGTAGGATGAAGTGTATAGAAGATATGTGAATACATGTGAAGTATGTACCCCGTTTACCCCACCAACCACGGTACGTAATATAGTAGGATGAAGTGTATAGGAGATATGTAAATACATGTGAAGTATGTACCCCGTTTACCCCGCCAGCCACGGTACGTATAGTAGGATGAAGTGTATGGGAGATGGGTAAATACATGTGAGAGTATCTACCCCGTTTACCCCACCAACCACGGTACGTAATATAGTAGGATGAAGTGTATAGGAGATATGTAAATACATGTGAAGTATGTACCCCGTTTACCCCGCCAGCCACGGTACGTATAGTAGGATGAAGTGTATAGGAGATATGTAAATACATGTGAAGTATGTACCCCGTTTACCCCGCCAGCCACGATACGTATAGTAGGATGAAGTGTATAGGAGATATGTAATTACATGTAAGAGTATCTACCCCGTTCACCCCGCCAACCACGTTACTTACATGACTTATAGTAGGATGAAGTGTATGGGAGATATGTAAATACATGTGAAGTATGTACCCCGTTTACCCCGCCAGCCACGGTACGTATAGTAGGATGAAGTGTATAGGAGATATGTAAATACATGTCAGAGTATCTACCCCGTTTACCCCGCCAACCACGGTACGTAATATAGTAGGATGAAGTGTATAGGAGATATGTAAATACATGAGTATGTACCCCCGTTTCCCCGTACCCCCGTTTACCCCACCAATCTGTGCGAAGATGTGAAACAGGGGAATTAGGGCGAATTAGTAAGTACTACGTGCACGTGTAGAGGAGAATAGGCTACACAGGCAAAACGGATGTGGGCGAGATTCGCGCATGTAAGGGAGTTAGTACTACGTATACAGGTACGTGCGCACGTGTGGAGGAGAT